CATCAATACTCGTTAAAATAACATAAAATCAGGAGATAATAGCTTAAACACAATAGAGACGTTAAAAATTATAGGAAACCTTTCTGAAAACAGGGTCAAGAAACCCTAGTTTCAAATAGGAGACAAAGATGCTTAAAACTTGATTATTTGTAAAGATCGAGTAAAGAAAGGTTTAAAACATGAAGGAATGGGTAACAAATCGTTAAAATACAGATGGGTTTTTAAGAGACTTGGGTCGAGGTTAGGGTTTCCTAAGAAAACAGAGGAAGTAGAGATAACCTGGCCGTGAAACTCAGGAACCATGGTGATTAGAACACCATCGAGTCAAAACTCGCCGGAGAAAGGCCGGAAACAAACCAGGCGAAGCTTCAGTGACTGACTTGTATGGCGGAGGCTTCTGGGGTCTCAAGGATAGAGGGAATCGGCGAGATAGGGTTTCATGGCGGCTGGTGGTCGAAAGAGGTGAGGCTGGAGGTGGCCGGAGAGATGGTGGAGGTCATCGGAGAAGAAAAATCAGAAGGTTCTAGAGAGAAGGGGGAAAGGAAGAGACAAAGCAGAGAGAGAGACTGTCTCGCAGAATGAGGGGTCGAGGGGGGGTAGTTAGACTTAATTAAGGAAAATAGATCTGGGCCGTTGATCTTACTTGATCAACGGCTCAGATTAAATCGGGGTTGGGCCGGGTTATATTAGGGATTGGGCTGGGGTGAGTTTAATTGGGTATTGGGTCAACTAAATCTGATAGAGGTGTGGCCAAATTGGCTAAAATTGAAATAATAAAGGGATGTGTGTTAAATAGCCAATTTCCCTCTTTTATTTTAATAAAGTAGTTAAAATTATTTTAAAAACAAATTAAAGGCACTGAACTAATTAATAATGTATAAATATTAATCTAAAAATACTAAAAATGATTTTATAATTGTAAAATGTTGTTAATTGTAAAATAGGCTATAATTGCAATTATATGCAATTTGGCTTAAAAAATACCAAACAAATGTGTAAAAATATGCAAAAATTACCTTAATTATATCTTGGTGTAAATATGAGAATGAAAATAAATTATTCACCAAAAAATGCTAGTCTGGAAATAATTATTGAATTTTGTACTATTAAAATAGACAATAAATTGATTTTAAAAATCTTTAAAAATAAGGGGAAAATACCAAAACTCTTGGGCATGCTTATATATGCATGTACATGCTATTTTGAGAATATTTTGAGTATATAAAAATATGTAAGAAAAAATTGGGTATCAACATATGTCATATTCAGAGAGCATATATTTCCTTTAAAGGAAGGAGTGTAAATTGAAGAAGAAGACCTCTTCCCCAATACTGCACCATCAGTTGTTCCAATTGACCTGATGCTTGCCCAACCTGCTCTTCATTCAACTGCTGAAGAATAGCTTCCAAATGAGGGAGTGACAACAATAGATCTAGCAGCAACTGATTCTGAACAAGCAACCTCCATTGAACAAGCAGCAGTAGATGATTCTGAACCAGCTGTGAGTCCAACAATAAAGATTGATGATGTTGAGGATCAAGCAGACACAAGCCAACCACCTGATGCTGATTTGCATACTAGGAAATCCAACAGAGTTTCAAGACCATCTATTTGGCTAAAAGATTACATTACCACATGCAAGTCACAGTCCAAGCCACACTGTATCTCCAACTCTGTATCCTATAGTCATTTATCTAACAATTATCAGGCTTATTTAGGAGTGTTTGCAACAGAAGTTGAGCCTAAATCCTTCAAGGAAGCATGTAGGAACAAGAACTAGATAGAAGCAATGTCTCAGGAAATTAAGGCTCTTGAGGACAATGCTACTTGAGAGATAGTTGACTTGCCAGTAGGTAAGCGAGCAATAGGATCTAAATAGGTGTTCAAGATCAAGTACAAAGCAAATGGGGAAATACAGAGATACAAAGCTAGATTCTTGGCAAAGGGTTATACTCAACAAAAAGGTTTGGATTATCATGAAACCTTCTCTCATGTGGCAAAGATGGTAACTGTGAGGACAGTGATCAGCATTGCAGCATCAAGAGGTTGGACTTTGTTCCAAATGGATGTGAACAATGCATTTTTGCAAGGAGACCTCTATGAGGAAGTCTATATGGACTTACCTTAAGGTTTCCAGAAACAAGGGGAGAACAAGGTGCGCAAACTATTGAAATCTCTATATGGCCTTAAATAGGCCTCAAGGCAATGGAACATTAAACTTACTGAAGCTTTACTGGAAGGTGGTTACTCTCAAAGTGCTCATGATCACTCTGTATTCACTAAGAAGACATGTCCTCACATTGTTATAATCCTAGTGTATGTGGATGATTTGCTTATAACTGGCAGCAATGTAGAACTGATAGAGGAGGCTAAACAGACTCTACACAGCTCTTTTAAGGTGAAAGAATAGGAGAACTTCGTTATATCCTTAGAATAGAAGTTTTGAGACCAAAGGAAGGGATACTGCTCACTCAAAAGAAAGTATGCTTTGCAATTGATCTCAGAAGCTGGACTTGCAATAGCCAAACTAATCTCTACTCCTATTGAATTGAATCAGAAATTGACTACCATTGATTATGACAAGCATGTAGGAGTCAAGGGGATGAGGAACTAGAAGACATTGGAAGCTATCAAAGACTTATTGGGAAGCTACTCTACCTAACCATTACTAGACCAGACCTCAACTTTGCAGTTCAAGTACTTAGCCAATTCATGCAACACCCCAAACAATCCCATTGGGATGCAGCATTGCGTGTGGTCAGATATGTGAAATCAGCTCCTGGACTTGGAATTATGCTAAGTACTAGCCCTATCAATAACATATCTGCTTATTGTGATTCTGACTAGGCATCCTGCCCAAATACCAGAAGATCAGTCACAGGATACATCATCAAATTGGGGAATTCTTTACTTTCCTGGAAGTCCAAGAAACAGTAGACTGTGAGTCGAAGTTCTGCAGAGGCTGAGTACAGGAATCGAGCAGCAGCAGCATCAGAAATTACTTGGTTTCTAGGACTGTTGAAGGAGCTTCAAGTTCATGTCCATCAACCAGTTCCTCTATATTGTGACAGTAAGGCTGCTTTACAAATATCTGCCAATCTCATCTTTCATGAAAAAACCAAACACATTGAAATAGATTGCCATTTTGTTCGAGAAAAGATCAAGGCTGGACAATTGGCACCACAATATATTTCTACCAGTCTACAACAGGCTGACCTTATGACCAAGGGTCTAGGATCAGCACAACATCATTTCCTCTAGTCCAAGCTTGGTGTGCTTGATGTGTTTCACCCACCAGCTTGAAGGGGAATATTGAGATACACACTAATTGTACATAGACTAAGCTGAGGGACCTAAGTGTAAAGATTAGAAAGCTTTATCCTAAAAAGGAAAAGCTGTTAAGGCAGTTAGAAGTGGGACTTTATATAATAGCCCACATGTGTATTTCTTCTTCTTCTTCTTCTTCTTCTTCTTCCTTAAGACAAAAATACAGAGCTTCTTCTTCATCTCATTTCCTCTCTAGATTCACTCTCAGATTCACTTGCATATTGCATTACTGTGTAAATTCAATCAATTTTATCAACATGGATTAATGTTACTCGTGTTAGTGTGCAATCCATATCTCTCGAGCAATTCTATTACAATTTCCATCGAGTTAATTTAAAAAGTGTAGTTAGAGTATTTATTTACCAAAAAATGCCCGATGTTACTGGCTAATTAACAAATACGAATAATTTTACTTATAACCAACGATTGTCTAAAAATATACTCCCTCCGTCTCATATTAATAGTCATGGTTACTAAAAATAATTATCTCACATTATTTATTATTTTAGAAGATCAAGATAAAATTGATTATTTTTTTTCTTTTTTTTCCATTAGTAATAATTGTTCTTGAAGATTGAGATAACACATAAATAGAATAAATATTCAATGAAGAGAGATTATATCTTAAGACATAAATAAGGATAGAATAGTCGAATCCCTTTCCTAATTAATATTTCTTTAGGGGAGTGTAAAAGAGAAACACACACATAATATATGAGAGGGAGGGAGTACTACTTTTGTATCGAATATCTATGATGCAATGCTCTGGCATTAAATCTAATAAATACTTTTATAACATAAATATTCTGACATGCTAAAATTATTGAATTTTACTAAAAACTCTTATTAAAATAAAATAAAATTTTGTCTCTGTTGTAAAACCTATAGTTAATATGGATGTCCACTACTTCCACTATTTTCACCCATGATGTAAATAACCTCCCACTACTCATCACTATTATGATTGTAACTCCCACACCTCCATAACCTCTCCCCATGATCTTCCGCCATGATCTCAACTGTTAATGTCATGTTTAAGACAATCATTTTGTAACCTTCATATGTAATAGTATAAATAGAGGCATGAAATGTGAGATGGAACACACTTGAACACTTGATGAAATAAGAAAATTATCTCTTCTTCTCTTATTCTACTTATCTACTTGTTTTATATTGTTACTTTGAGCTACATTTCTTAATACGTTATCAGCACGAAGTTGAGCATTTTTCGTTGCTCGGGTATATTTGTTCATTTTGTTTTCTTTGTTGTATATTTTGGGTTCATGATTAGTATCTTTAATATGCAGTTTTATAATTTTTCACATCTCTAGATATGTGTAAAAATAAAGAATTCTATGTTTCTTTATTTTAAGTTAATAGAATGATTGTCATGTGAAAGTTGCTAATTTTCATGTTAATAGAATTAATTGAGAGAAGAATACTTATTTTATGTCGTTCGATATTTGAAATTGTGTTGAAGTTAGAAGACATTTTTGTTCTAGTTAACATCAAAGATATACTAATAATTTGAAGAAACAAATAGTATTATTTTCTATGGAATTATCACTTTAGTGTATATAGATCACAAATTTGATATTATGTCAATTTTTAAGATTCTTTACGCTATTATCCTAATGATTTCTAATTATTTATCGTCTTTGATAGTTTTCACTATGTCGAATTTGTCAAAGCTTGAGTTTGTGGCACTTGAAATAACCAGAAAGAATTACCGATCATGGGTTCTCGATGTTGAGATTCACTTAGCCGCTAAAGGCCTTGGTAACACCATTACTTAGGGTAATGAGGCATCAAGCCAAGACAAAGCGAAGGCCATGATTTTCCTTCGTCATCATTTGGATGAAGGTTTGAAGGTTGAATATTTGACAGTGAATGATCCACTTGAATTGTGGACTGGCCTGAAGGAAAGGTATGATCACCTTAAGGCTAGGTATTGCCAAGGGCTCGATATGAGTGGATGCACCTACGGTTGCAAGGAATTAAGAGCGTAAGTGAGTATAACTCTGCTATATTTCGAATAACTTCCCAATTGAAATTATGTGGGGATGTTATGAATGATGAGGATTTGTTGGAAAAAAAAGACTCTTACGACTTTTCATGCCTCAAATATGGTAATACAGCAGCAATACCGTGAAAGGGGTTTTAAAAGTATTTCTGAATTGATCTCATGCCTTCTGGTGGCTGAGTAACATAATACCCTTTTGCTAAAAAATTATGAAGCTCGTCCCGCAGGGTCAGCTCCGCTTCCTGAAGCGAATATGACAGCTAGACGTGATAAGTCTGGAAAAAGACAGAATAATAATCATGGCCATATGAATGTACGTGGGCATGGCAATTGTAAGAGACGATATAATAGTCGTCATCATGGTGGTCATGGCAGACGAGAGAACAATATGGGTTCTCAAAACAATCCTTCAAGAGGCAAAACCGGTAATTGCCACCACTGTGGTACGAAAGGTCATTGGAAAATTGAATGCCGTGCACCTGAGCATTTTGTCAGGCTTTATCAAAAATCCATCAAAAGAAAGGCAAATAATGTTGGAGCATCTTCTGCTAATGCCCCAGTGGAGTCTCACTTGACCTTTAAAAATAATTTTGAGGCAGGGCCTTCAAAAAAAAATAATGACAATGTCGAGGCAAATCTTGCTTTGAATGATGATGATTTTCAAGGCCTCGATGATCTTACTCATTTGGAAGTTGAAAATTTCTTTGGAGATCAAAACTAAAGTTTGATCATTTTACTAGGGAATGCAATTATGTTGTTATTTTTATTTTTAGTGTTTTTGTCTCGTCTAAAGTTATTTTTATTTTCAAGTAGTACTTAAGTTGTCTTATGTTGTCATTGGTGATGCTAGTTTTTCCGTATTTCTCATGATGTACTTTTTTTTATGAAGAAATTAAAAATCCCCAGTCTTGAATTGGATCCAAGATGAGTAATGAAGATTTATGTCTTTTGGATAGTGCTACAACTCACACGATATTAAGAGAAAATAAATTTTTTTCTTATTTGGTTATGAAAAAGGCCTATGTTAATACAATATCTGGTAATACAAAGTTGATTGAGGGCTCTGGAAGAGCGGCCTTATTACTACCTTGAGGAACGATATTAACTATTGATAATGCATTGTATTATAGTAAGTCTCAAAGAAACTTGTTGAGTTTCAAAGCTATTCGCCAAAATGGCTACCATGTTGAGACATCAAACGAAGGGAAGATTGAATACCTTTATATTACTACAATAAAAGCGGGAAAAAAATATGTGCACGAAAAATTACCCGCATTTTCTTCTGGGTTGTACCACACAAATATTGGTGTGGTTGAATCGCATGCCTTAGTAAACACAAGGTTTACTACTTCTAATGATTTTATCATTTGGCATGACCGGTTGGGCCATCCCGGTTCTAACATGATGCGCAGAATAATAGAGAATTCAAATGGGCACACATTGAAGAACAAGAAGATTCTTCAATTTAAGGAATTCTCTTGTGCTGCTTGTTCTCAAGGAAAATTGGTTATTAAATCATCACCAGCTAAAGTTGGGATTGAATCCCCTGCATTTCTGGAACGTATACAGGGTGATATATGTGGACCTATACACCCTCCATGTGGACCATTCAAGTATTTTATGGTCTTGATAGACGCATCTACAAGATGGTCACATGTATGCTTATTGTCAACTCGTAATATGGCATTTGCGAGATTGTTGGCCCAAATAATAAGGTTAAGAGAACAATTTCCAGATTATGCAATTAAGACAATTCGTCTTGATAGTGCTGGTGAATTTACATCTCAGGCCTTTATTGATTATTGTATGGCCACTGAAATAAAAGTTGAGCATCCGGTTGCTCATGTTCATACTCAAAATGGTCCAGCAGAATCATTGATTAAACGCCTCCAATTAATAGCTAGACCATTGCTAATGAGGACAAAACTTCCCCTTTCAGTGTGGGGACATACTATTTTGCATGCAGCAGCACTTGTGCGCATAAGACCAACCAGTTATCATGAAGTCTCCCTATTACAGTTGGCTTTTGGTCAGGAGCCAAATATTTCCCATCTAAGAATTTTTGGATGTGCGGTATATATTCCAATTTCTCCACCACAATGCACAAAGATGGATCCCCAAAGAAGGTTGGGAGTATATGTTGGTTATGAATCTCCTTCTATTATTAAATATCTGGAGCCTATGACAGGAGATTTGTTTACAAGCAGATTTGCTGATTGTCATTTTGATGAATCAGTTTTTCCAACATTAGGGGGAGAAAATAAACAGCTGGAAAAAGAGATAGATTGGAACATAATATCTCTATCTCATTTGGATCCTCGTACAAATCAATGTGAACAAGAAGTTCAAAAGAACATTTATATGCAAAATGTTGCAAATCAATTGCCAGATGCATTTACTAACCTTCCACGGGTTACTAAATCGCATATTCTAGCTGTAAATGCTCCAATTCGAGTTGATGTCCCAGCTGGACAGTATGATAATGCAAATGAGTCTAGGCCACGCCTTAAACGTGGTAGACCAATCGGCTCCAAGGATAAGAATCTCCGAAAAAGGAAAGGAGCAAATGATCAAGTTAATCATAACATGGAGGCAATTGCTCAAGAGGAGCATAAAGACATATTAATTGATAAGACATTCAGGAGGTTCTAGTACCTAGAAATGATGAAAATGAAGAGATCTCAATAAGTTATGTCTCTACGGGAAAAAGGTGGAATCGAAATAACGTTGTTGTTAACAACAATTTTGCATATAATTTGCAGTTGAAATAATGCAATAAGATGAGGATCTTGAGCCAAAATCTGTCGATGAATGTAGAAAGAGAAATGATTGACCAAAATGGAAAAATGCAATTCAAGCGGAATTGGCTTCACTCGAAAAATGTGAAATTTTCGGACCAATAGTCCGAAAGCCTGAAGGTGTCAAGCCAGTGGGGTACAAATGGGTTTTGTGCGAAAACGAAATGAAAAAGGTGACGTCGTAAGATATAAAGCACGACTTGTGGCACAAGAGTTTTCGCAAAGGCCTGGCATTGATTATATGGAGACATATTCTTGTGTGGTAGATGCAATTACCTTCAGGTATTTAATAAATCTGGCAGTCCATGAAAAACTTGATATGCGGTTGATGGATGTTGTCACAGCCTACTTATATGGCTCACTGGACAATGAAATTTTTATGAAAATCCCTGAAGGATTTAAAGTTCCTGAAGCGCATAAAAGTTCAAGAGAAACATGTTTAATAAAGCTTCAGAAATCCTTATACGGATTGAAGCAATCAGGGAGGATGTGGTACAATTGTCTTAGCGAGTATTTGCTAAAGAAAGTGTACAAAAATGATCCTATTTGCCCTTGTGTCTTTATTAAGAGGTCTGGATCTGAATTTGTCATCATAGCTGTGTATGTTGATGACTTGAATATCATTGGCACTTCTAAAGAGCTTCCAAAGGCTTTAGAATGTTTGAAGAAAGAATTTGAAATGAAAGATCTTTGGTAAGACAAAATTTTATCTTGGCCTACAAATTGAGCATGTACCAAATGGAATTTTTGTCCTTCAATCAACATACACTGAAAAGGTTTTAAAGCGATTTTACACGGATAATGCACAACCATTGAGTACCCCATTGGTTGTGAGATTGCTTGATATAAATAAAGATCCATTTCGGCCTCAAGAAAATGATGAAGAGCTCGTTGGTGATGAAACTCCATATCTTAGTGCAATTGGGGCACTAATGTATCTTGTCAACAATACCCGACTAGATATTGCTTTTGCAGTAAGCTTATTAGCTAGATTTAGCTCCCCCCCCCCCCCCCCAAACAAGAAGACATTGGAATGGTGTTAAGCATATATTTAGATATCTTCGGGGAACTATAGATATGGATTATTTTATTCTAATGAATTCAAGTCAGAAATGATTGGCTATGCCGATGCAGGTTATTTGTCTGATCCACATAAAGTCCAATCTCAAACAGGCTATTTGTTTACATATGGGGGTACAACTATATCATGGCGTTCAATGAAACAAACAATAGCTGCCACATCTTCAAATCATGCTGAGATAATAGCCATTCATGAAGCTAGTCGGGAATGTGTTTGGTTGAGATCAATGACTCAGCATATTCAGGAAATGTGTGGTTTTCTTATGAAAAAAGATAATCCAACTACACTATATGAAAATAATGTTGCTTGCATCGCTCAACTGAAAGGAGTATACATCAAAGGAGACAGAACAAAGCACATTTCACCAAAGTTCTTTTTCACGCATGATCTTCAACAAAATGGTGAAATTAATGTTCAACAGATTCGTTCATGTGAAAATTTGGCTGATCTGTTCACTAAGGCATTACCAACATCAACATTTGAGAAGTTGAGACAGAAGATCGGAATGCGGCGTCTTCGAGAAATAAAGTGATGGTTTCATGAGGGGGAGTAAGATACGCGCTGTACTCTTTTCCCCTTAGCCTAGGTTTTCCACTGGGGTAAGGTTTTAAATGAGGTAGCAAATAAAGCGTATACAGATATGTGTACTCTTTTTCCTTCACTAAGATTTTTTTCCACAGGTTTTTTTTTCTTAGTAAGGTTTTAACGAGGCATATTATTTATTTTTGGACATTCAAGGGGGAGTGTTGTAAAACCTATAGTTAATATGGATGTCCACTACTCCCACTATTTTCACCCGTGATGTAAATAACTTCCCACTACTCATCACTATTATGATTGTAACTCCCACACCTCCATAACCTCTCCCCGTGATCTTTCCCCATGATCTCAATTGTTAATGTCATGTTTAAGACAATCATTTTGTAACATTCATATGTAATAGTATAAATAGAGGCATGAAATGTGAGATGGAACACACTTGAACACTTGATGAAATATTCTTCTCTTATTCTACTTATCTACTTATTTTATATTGTTACTTTGAGCCACATTTCTTAATAGTCTCCAACTAAAAATTCTTATGTCCAATTAAAACTGTCAAATAAAAATAAAATGGGGGAAGTGTATAATAATATTATACAGTATTTTGAAATATAGGGGAGGCAAGTGTAAATGTAATTAGCAGAAGTGAAAAAATTGGAGAGACAAAAGGTAGTCCTAATGTCCTATGAAGAAGAAGAAACGTTATCAACTGGGGTCCTTTTTTCGCTTAGTGCTTAGGTCCAAAATTGGAATTTGGAAACAGCAAAAACACCAACCCTTTCTTCTTCGCTGTAAGCTCTGAGAAGTTTCATCCCGACGAGATTTCAAGGAGATTGACAGCCGCTCAATTTTGCCGCTAATTACAGGTATTTTAGGGGTTCTTGGGCCTTGACTTCACAGACCCAGTTGAATTTGCCGATATTTCAAGGAGATTGACAGTTACAGGTAATTTTAGGGGACAAAGAGGCGCTTTTATAATATGATCCAATTACTTGTTTTGCTAGTCTTAGTTGGGTTCTTGGGTCCTGAGTTCATAGACCCAGTTGAATTTGTCTTCTCCTTTTACCTTAATTTAAGAGGATTATTATTGGGTTAACTCGATTTATTCCTCTGCTTTGTGTTTTGCCCGGATAAGGATGGCAACAATGGCCACTACTCTGCTGGGTTTTGTGTTTTAATTAGATTAGCTTCCGGATTATCCTAATTTCATGATAAGCCTAGCTCCTAGATATAATGGCTAAGGAACAGAAACGGTTTTTTAATTTAATATTTGTGATGATAAGTAGGATTTTAACATGT